CAACTGGCGCCATGCTGCAATTCGGGCGCCACTTTCGAATACCGCATTTTTCAGTTCTGCCCTCGGGGCCTTTGCAGAAATGCCCCTGGTACCGTACAGGTCACCGGTACTTATACCAGCTCCCCGTACGGTACAGGGACCAGGCGCGTACCAGTTTCCAGCTGCTGTACTCGTACTCCGTGTGACTTGCTGTTTCAGCATTCGGGAATCCAAGACTTCGACTTTGTGCCCTTGCCACTGTGTCTGCATCCGATCCTCAGTCGTGTCGAGTGAGTGAGTGTGTGTGTGTGCTCTCACTCTCTCTCTCTCTCTCTCCTCTCCCTCGGCTCTCCCTCAGCCTCGTGCGCATTACACTGGTATCAGAGCGGTTCGAGCCCGCTCAACCCACCTGGCCATCATCAGCATCATCGTGGTGATCGCCGTCGTAGTGCCACATCATCGCCGTCGTGCCACGTCGTCATCGTCATCGTCACGATCGTCAACGTTGTGCCACGTCATCATCGTCACCGTCGCGAACGTCGTCGTCGTGCCACGTCGCCATCTCCGTGCCTGTCGTCCTCATCGCCGCGCCGTGCCATCCTCGTCATCGTCATGGTGGGGTCAAGTACTCATCTTGGGGCTTAACTTTCACCCCAGTCCACTTAGCCGTTTGGTTGAGTGTTTGCCTCTTGATGTGGAGGTCACGTGTTCGATCCTTGGATCGGTGCGGACGGGCAGATTGCTGTCTGGAGTAAGTTTCACTTCTTACGTGCGTGGCAACCAGCAGTGAGGACGTGCGTGGCAACCAGCAGTGAGGTCGTACACTGTATGGTGGCTACGTCTACACACGCTGGTTGGGTGCTCGTGTGTGACTGGGTACACCGGGTCGCAGGGAAAAACGAGTACCCGTGCTGGGGTGGGGTTAAGTACTCATCTTGGGGATTAACTTTCACCCCAGTCCACTTAGCCGTTTGGTTGAGTGTTTGCCTCTTGACGTGCAGGTCACGTGTTCGATCCTTGGATCGGTGCGGACGGGCAGATTGCTGTCTGCAGTAAGTTTGACTTCTTACCTGCGTGGCAACCAGCAGTGAGGTCGTACACTGTATGGTGGCTACGTCTACACACCCTGGTTGGGTGCGCGTGTGTGACTGGGTAC